CGGTGACTTTAGAATATAGGGTTGTCTCATCATTCCTGTCTCAATTTCGACACTTTTGTTTATTCAAGTTTTATCTCTTCTAGGAAACAACTGATCAATAGCATAACCACCATCATGGTCACTGATATGCGTGCATTTGCTAGTGAGCGTTTGGAAGCTTTCCGCCCAGAATGAAGTGAAGCTGGAAGTTGAAGAATTTGGAGAGGTCGTTTTTGGGGTGGTCTCCGCGTTCACTATTCAACTATGTGGGCTAGAGCTTTACCGCGGAGCAATATCGTTTGAAACGTGCTGAAGATCTTCCGATGTCATTTTCCAGTGGAGAATTGAAGAAACCCTGTTTGTGAAAAGAAATTCTCTCGGAAACCGAGTCATTTCTTGCTAGAAGGTGTGGCCACGTCAACTGGAGGGTGGCTGTATCATTATTAAACGCAGTGTATTTAGCAGAACTTACGGACGCCTTGAGGCTCTGCTGACGCAAGCCTCTCATTGTTCCAAATAAGCATCATCACAAGGAGTCCTAGTAGGAGGGCAGCAACCAGATGGCAGGAGACCAACCACAGCAAAAGTGCTTGTTCTCTTGGACCCTTGAAAAAGATTCCATAGAAGGATGTGAAAAAAAACGACTACAAAAAAGCAGATGACTACTTCAGACACTTGTACTACTAGAACTTTCAGGCCCCCTCATATGATTAATTGTTGTGCTGCGAATAGCCAAATTTGCCGCAGGATCTATGGTTTTACCACAGTCAGCTGCCAACACATTATTGAACACTACTGCCTACTTGACTTGTTAATAGAAGAGCATTCTCAGCGATTAATTATTGCTAGCATCTTGGCAGTACAAAAGAAGAAAGCTCACGTATTGAGATATCTTCTTCCTTCTAGATAAATAAATAAGGAGTATTGAGAGAGGTAAGGCCAATGTAAGTAGATTCCCAATTGTAAGTAGTAAAAGGAATGTTATCTGCAATGTGAGGAATAAATAGAAGCCACGTTTCTTCGAAACATATTTAAACTGAAACAAAATGCGATACCACCATCATTTCGACAATTTGAGAAAAATTTTGCTCAACATCCCGTACACTGAAAGTATCACCTCTGCGAAATAAGAGTCTCATCCTAGGATGAACTTTTGCTAGAGTTACCCGCCGAGTCTTTGCTAGCTACAAGAACAAGATGACCTGCCTCCGACGTCCGGATGGAACAGTCACTGCATCCCGAAGGGCAATGGAGAAAGTCATCCACGACTTCTACTCGGATCTCTTCGATAGCCATGTCCATCTGCCCACTTATCAAATGCAACAGGATGGATACGTCGATCTCTCAGTGCCTTCATTCGAATGCAATCAAGCCGGGCTGCACCTTGTCACGAAATGTCACCTTGGCAGAGTGAAATAGGAACATCTCAAAGTGTGCACCGCCAGTTATCATCAAAACTCTGGCTCGACTCTTCACGCGCTACCTGTCGGAATGCAAGGTACCCACTCCGTGGGCAGGACCGTGTTGCTGTACAAGAAGGGAGACTTGGACGACATTGGCAACTATCGCCCAATCTGCCTGCTGTCTGTAATCTACAAGCTATTCACTCGAGTCATCCTTAACAGGATCGGCAGAATACTAGATGAAGGACAGCCATGCGAGCAAGCAGGGTTTCGAAGAGGGTTCAGCACGATCGACCATATCCACACGGAAGACTCATTGAAGTTTCACGAGAGTACAAGATGCCGCTTTGTCTCACGTTCATCGACTTGAAGAAGGCCTTCGACTCTGTGGAGACAGAAGCGGTCATCAAAAAGAAAAGCTTACTCAGTACATAAAGATTCTTGGTGTGTTCTACAGCAACTTGCGAGCAGAACTTTACCATTTCACGAGGAAATCATCACGCGATTGTAGCTTAGGTCTGATAACATTAGGTTCTTCACCTTTCCTTACAACTCTCTCCGCTCTTCGCTGACCTCCAGCTTCCCCTACAACACCATGTGAAATGACTGAGAGGTGCTCTGTGCTGTTTATATAGCCGTTGAAGATTCCTACTATGAATAATTCGCTAAGTATCTCTGTCTGTGTGTGTTTGTGTACGTCCATCTGCCTATCACGCTACTCTCAGCCGTCATATTTTGATTTCAAAACATGATATGGAGGTGGAATGGGATCATATTCGGCAGGTGACAGAAACTTAGGTCAACTAATAAGGGCTGTCGAGAGGCGTTAGAATGCAAATGTCACGGAATTCATTGCGTGTGCCCCAGCAGCAGGGAAGCATTGGTTCCAATAAATGATCTGACATCACAGTCGTGCCTCTGCAAGGAACTGATAGCGCAGTTCTGCGAGCTCCAGATTATCGCGGAATCCGCGAGTTCGTGCGAAGGGATAAATTCCATTACGTCTCCCACACTATCAGATCTTGCTATCTTCTTATGTTTCTGCTGTGGCTAAGCTGAAGAGCATTATCGGCATAACTTCAACAGTGATGTTGTGAGAGGACGTTCTGAGCTCTCAGCAACACAGTATAAATGCTCGCGGATCAGAAATAAGCCGTGGTGTTGTGATGCCGTTATCTCTCTTTTCTGCGGGCGTCCACTTTGCGAGGGGGGCATCCCTATGCGATCTAGCGACAGACTACTCTTTGCGATGCTCTCTCTTCTTCTCTTGCGATGCGACTTTTAACTTTTTTACATATATTTCACCTTTTTTGGACCTAGGAAGATTGGGGCGACTCGCTCATGGCATAAAAGGGTTTAGATTCTATTTTTGGTAGATTTTGCTCATTTTTCACAGTTTTTTATGTGGAACATTGATTTTTCAGGTCGTGCGTGCAATTTGAGATTTGAAATGTGATATTAAAGTTTAATTACCCAAGTTTGAGGTGTTGTACGTCAACAACAAATTACCGCGTGGCAGACAAAAAAGGACCAAGAAGGCCCTATTATTTTCATGGTGCATCGGCGGATTTTCCAGATCGCCTGCTATTGCGCACTACTGCAGAGGAATTAAAGGAAGTGCGAATGCGGAGTTGCATCAGTTGGCGAAATTTTCAACGATATGTCGCGAAAATTACCAATAAATGTCGGAACAGCACGATTCTTCCAAATAAATAATTCCCAAGTAGTTGCGAAATTACAGGACACAACTTCCTCCGAATTCATTATCCACTTCCAGGAGATTGTAGAAGATACCCTCCAAGAAGTGCAAAAATATCCATGTTCAGTTGAAAATGCGATGCTCACAGGATGTTATCGCTGCTCGAAAGGAGCAGAGCGACATATCCTGCAAGTCTTCACATTTCACACTTGGGGAAGTTCTATGCGATCGCGAGACCTTTTTATTCAATGCTCCCAAAAGGGGAAAAAAGCACCTTGCGACTTATGCGAAACTATGCGAGAAACCACATGAATTGCATCCTACGATGTGCATCACTTAGTTATTTCGTGCTTTCGGGACTTTTGAAGTTTGTAGAACCTTGGCACTATTCCAGAAAAGCGATATTACAGGGTAACCACTCTGTCTTCACTCATGGAATGGCACATATCCTACTATATATAATCGGCTAAGCGGTTGTGTGTGTGTGTCTGACCGGAAATTCATAACTTCACCCCCTTTGGACCCAGAGCGCTCAAACTTCTAGGATATATAGGGGGCCGGAGGTGAACACTGATGACGGGTGGCGGGAAGTGATAACTACTGATAGGAGCTGATAACGGACGTCGAAATGTTGATGTCACCAATTTCGTTACACCGTTCGCGTTGACGGTGGAGAGTTTGCACTCATGTATGATATGTGGGGTGAGGCGGGGACCAAGAAGTTGAGTGAACGAATGTGGTAGCAACTGATAAGAACTGATAAGGGGCGTCAAAGTGTGGATACCACCAGTTTCGTTGCGGCCCTTCGCGGTTACATTGGAACCTTGGCTCTCACATGTGGTATAGGGGATGGGACGGGAACACGGATAGCGGATGATCAAAAGTGATAACAAGCGATAACGGTTGATAAGGAAGTTAGGATTTTGAGTACTGCTAATTTCGTTGCAGCCTTCGTGGTGACAGTAAATATTAGCTCCTACACGTTGCCTGGAGGTTGGGACCGGGACACCGATTGCGAACAGTATGAACTGATAACAAATGACAAGGAATGATAAGAGCGTTCTGAATGCAGGTCTCTCCAACTTCGTTGCAATTATCACTGGCAAGCGATCAAGGTGGCGAGGGTTGAATGTAGGTGACAGAAAGTGGTATGAGCGGCAACTGTACTGATAAAAGTAGCGACATTGAGCGTGCACTCAGTTGAACTAAACCAGGTCCCTAGCACATGAATATGTTCCACTCATACCCTTGAAAGTTGAGTTGCAAAACTATCAATAGCGAATTTCCATCATACTATATTTCCAATTTCCATCATGGTTAGATGCTGATTGATTGGTTATATTTCACTTACACACCGATTCTTCAATTGTGGAAATTCTATAAACCGCTAAATCATCCGAGCTCGATATCAATGCTAAATGTTTACGAAGTCATGATAAGTACCATTTTCATTCCGCATGCTACTGCGCGCATTACGCGACAATCTTCAGCAAAATTGGACAGCCTTTGAAATTCATGTGACACATCTTCCAAACATCTTACTGTTAGTTTCTCAGCCACGTGACCTAATATTCAGCAAGTTGTCCAGTTTCACTAAAGCCCACCATGTGATGCGCGCGGTTGCGTGCGGAGCTAAACTGGTTTCATATAAGCGATATCCTCTTTTCCTGGCAAAAAACTATTCTTTTATTGATGGTACTCCTTGCAATCGGGTTCGCAGTCACATATCTGTTCCTGCCAACTATACTGGCCTTCCTCATTCGAGGTGCGATGCGGGTGACATTTTGGATGTTCTTCAAGATTCCGGGGCGAATAGTGCGAGTGCTGATTGCGATTTTTTGGCGACTAATGTGCGAAAATTTTCACAAAGAGCGAGAAAATCGCGAAAAAACTCTGTGAAAAGTAATCTCAACACTAATATGAATTTTGCAGAAAATCCTGACCCGAACACCGACCTTCGACGCGCTAAAGCAGAGCTTAAACGGCTCAAGTCGGCACTGCCGACATTTCCGTCTCCTGACCAGTTGTATAATGACATAGTTCACTGTTGTAGCGAGATCATGTATCTGATTGAGCTCATTGACAATATTAAGATAGATATTACTTACTTTTTCCATAATTGTGATCCATGGAATGTACTAGAGCGAGACGCCCAAATCAAAGAATTGACTGTCAAAAACTATCACTTGCGATTGCGAAGCCTGCGACAACATCTCTCTCTCTTATTCTCTTCCGTCCCGGTCATGATCGCGACAAAAGCTATGTCCGCAAAAGCATGGCAGTCCTATACGGCAACCCCTCAGCACTACACGAAGAAAAATGGGGAGGAAGTACCACTTCTTACGGAGCAGAGCGAGATAGAAAGGATTCTGAGCGATCATGAGGAAACCATCGAAGAATTGTTTGCAAAGTTAAAAGACATTCGAGAAGAATGCCTTTATCAAGAACGTTATCGAGAAGATGTTTCGGCGAAGAAGATATGCAATGCGCTTAGGACACTCAACGAGCAGTTCAGTGACTTACGAGAAAAGCTGCAGCAGGATCGCCTAAAGATGATCACGGAAGAAACCCAAACCGATGATGTACCTCTCGTGCCGATGGACGTTGAAGTGATCCAGGAAGACATTGACAATGTCGAGCGAGAAGGCGAACAGGCAAGAATTATGGATAATGCTGAATACATGGAAGCTATTCAGGAGGATGCCGAAGAAGTGGAACTGCAAGAAAACGAACAGATCATGAAGGATATTGCTCTCCTGGAACAGGACCTAGCCCTCGTCCAGAGAAGACTTGAAGAGCTTTCAAAGGAGCGACTCTGCCGTCCACGCACTTATGAAATAGGAGTTGACCGTGATGAGGAGAAAATGATGCCGTGTGCGTTTTGTCACGTCCCAGGCCATCATTACTCCGATTCTTGCAGAGAATACCACTTGCAGCGGCGCGCGAAGAATCTCTCGACAAGCAAAAACGCTGCACGATGTGCTTGGAAGTAGAGTGCGAAAAAGATCGTTCTTGCCCAAAATATAAAAAACGTTGTCACTATTGCAAGATAACAGGCCACGCATCGGCAATCTGCCCACTTCCGGAACGCTCACTAAAGATTGCAGAAGAAAGGATTCGACTGATGCAAACCGCGGAGGACATTATGGAACAGTTGGAAGCCTTACGAAATTCACATCAATTCACTCACTTCTGTTTTTCTGACATCATCATCTGAAATGTGCGATACCTCATCAACCATACTTTGCGGCCGGGATTATCGCGGAATCCGCGAGTTCGTGCGAAGGGATAAATTCCATTACGTCTCCCACACTATCAGATCTTGCTATCTTCTTATGTTTCCGCTGTGGCTAAGCTGAAGAGCATTATCGGCATAACTTCAACAGTGATGTTGTGAGAGGACGTTCTGAGCTCTCAGCAACACAGTATAAATGCTCGCGGATCAGAAATAAGCCGTGGTGTTGTGCTGCCGTTATCTCTCTTTTCTGCGGGCGTCCACTTTGCGAGGGGGGCATCCCTATGCGATCTAGCGACAGACTACTCTTTGCGATGCTCTCTCTTCTTCTCTTGCGATGCGACTTTTAACTTTTTTACATATATTTCACCTTTTTTGGACCTAGGAAGATTGGGGCGACTCGCTCATGGCATAAAAGGGTTTAGATTCTATTTTTGGTAGATTTTGCTCATTTTTCACAGTTTTTTATGTGGAACATTGATTTTTCAGGTCGTGCGTGCAATTTGAGATTTGAAATGTGATATTAAAGTTTAATTACCCAAGTTTGAGGTGTTGTACGTCAACAACAAATTACCGCGTGGCAGACAAAAAAGGACCAAGAAGGCCCTATTATTTTCACAGATTTTGTTGCGGATTGCCTATTCCATGGCCTTCCTTATATCCATATTTTGCAGACGGACAGACGGACATGCATACAGACAGGCACACATTTATACAAACCGATACACCAAGTCAGCGGTTTATATAATAGAAGCTTGTACGCTGGAAGTGATTATGGACTTCCTTGATAAAATGGCTGCAAACTTACCGGAGAAATTTTCGAATATTTTTGATAATCAAGGCAAACTCACATTTCCGAAGGGATTCCTGTTGAGGGGATAATCGACCTGGAATTCGTTAGCGAATCAGACGACCTATTTTTGGAATCCCCTTGAGAGGAGATCCTGTGATTAATCGGTCGCTGTTGCAATGAAAATCGAGGGAACAAGCTATTACAAATTGACCGCGACCAATAAAGATGACCTGCAGAATGAAACCACTATGAGAATCGTTTTCGTTTCGTTGTCACTCCTTCTGCGACCGTAGTTTTTTTTTCATGGAGAGTTTTGCACAACAGTTAAGGGTGCATCAAAATTCACAAGCTTTCTGGATTCCGATAAGAGTAAGAGTGTAGCGAGAAATTTTAACTTGAACGGTCGTATGTCCATAAAGTTCACACTGGACCGTTTTTTTAGGGCAAAGTTCGGGACTTTCGGCTAAAATTTCGCTTTTCCCTTTCAAATATGCAGTGATACGCAAGGCAGAGCATGTGCAGAAGTGGCGGGGTGATTTGACAAGGTTTAGGCGCTAGGAGCCTAGGTTGGAGCATTGGCGCCGCCCCAACCCCATTGAGCCCGCCCACCGTTCCACGTGACCTGCCGCAACCACCAGCAACCAGGAATGCTAGATGTTAGGGTGTTGTTTGGAAGTCGTAAGAGAATACTTAACGGATTTCAACTACGAGTTCAACGTCATTATGCTACGACCATTATCCAGATCTTTGTTGTTCATTAATAATGATAAATTTTTTATGATGCTAAGCAAACAAAAAAGCACAGGTGAACAGAAAAATGAAATTAAAGACAAACAATCCATTGCTGAGATTTTATGGCGTGATGGTTGATGGCATAAGCCAGCAGTTGCTGTAAACACGTCCAGACACGTAATTTCCCAGCCCTGGCTTGTAAGCAACTAACGAAGGAGAAGGCTGTGATTTTGGAATTTTTGGGGGTATTTCCTGCTTTTTCTTGGACTTCGATTCACTTGACACCCATTGACTCATACTTGAACAGGTCCTTCTCTCATTTTATACAGGAGCTTGCCTTCAAGAAGCGAATTCCTACCCTCATTTTGAACAGTCTCGCGGGAAACCCTTCAGAAACTCTGATCCCTGCCAATTCCGGCCTTCACAACACCCCACTCTTACTGAATATGCGACCCTCCTCTCCCTGTTGAGGACTCCTGAGCACGCTTGAGCCTGCCAGCTGTCTGAGTAGAATGTGATTGAGGCCGTACCCGCGTATGGAACGGCTATAGAGGAGTAACTATCGGGCTGCCGCTAACTATGACGGAAAGCCAGTCACGGCTTGAAGAACGAGTTTGGTCCCCTAGATTACTTGGACCTCCCTTCCCTGCGTCAGCTTGCGTCTTTCCTTCTCTCCTTTTCCTCCACTGCTACCTCTTCTGCTCTCCACTCGCCATTGGAGCACCTTGTGGAATGACCAAAAGTGTGTTACGTAGGTTTTTGCATTGGCGTGGCAGTTAAACAATCATGCCATCGGTTTGCGCCCCTCCTTCTCTTCTTTTCTTCCTCTGCTCCCTCTATTGCTTTCCTGCCACTCACGGCTTTCCGTCTCGTGAGCTCTCTCACGCCGTCATGTGAATCGCATATCCATCAAGGGCTGGAGGAGTTGGTCGGTAATGAGGAGAAGCCCACCATTCAATACTCCAACGGCAAAATATTGATAGGGCGAGTCCGTGAGCTACTCGGATCTGCTACCGGCCTGTTTGTTCCATTAGCTGCCTTATTACTCATCTCATTTTGCATAGACACAAAATTATACATACACAACAAACAAAAAAATTCTGGCTCTCAATGAAAAAATCTGACATCTTCGCGGGCAAGCGAACAAGGGTGTAATCCTTTGATCGGCTTTTCCCTCATACTGCCCACCGACCCCTCGTCGTGGGATTCCAGCCACTTTCGTTAGAGGCAAAGTGAAACTAAGGGTTCGTTCCGACCATTTTAAGCCGTTTGTCTTAGATTTATGTTCGCTGCGTGCATATGAGCAGTTCTGTTTTAAATCTTAGCACGACCAATTCAATGCAGTATATATCAAGCTGCCTTCGCAAAGTATGCCTCGGTCTCAGTGGAATACGGAGCATCTGTTAGATGAAAAAAATGCCCAAATACACATAGACTTTCTGTGCCTATCTAGGAAGAGCCACGCAGGAGCAGGTCTTCGTTTCACGTCAATAATCAATATCACTTCTCCATCAGTGGCACCTGACTTGGTCACCCTCCCGCCTATAGGTTATGATGATCCTTCCTTAGTGTGCAGAAGTACTGCAAATTTCTCGATTCGGTATGATCCACAACATATGAGCATCTCATTTATGTGACCCCAGTTTTGCTTCGCCCGCTATCGCGCGCATGTCAACATAGGCTTCAGTGAAACTGAGTATAGCCGGGCTATTGTATTGAGTAACATACTGCTTTCAATGGATTTTACTGATGGTATTAAGAAATCAGATGATAAAGCAGTAATTTCTCATAGTTCCAATACCAATAAACATCCATCATTTTTCTGGAACTAACAAAGTCTAGCAGCCGAATGACCTTTGGATAACTAATACAATTACTTGGGCTGCTTATTATCACCCTCAGCGTAAACATCTACCATGCTTTGGATATTGGGATGGTTTAGCGGTCGAATAACTTCTTATGCCGGTGATGAGATAGAAATACCATAGTTATCGTATTTCCACAGACACCGACCATTTAGGAAGCTCGGGCAGATTAGCGGTCGAATGGATCACGACTGCATCGCGAAGAAATGAAATGTGTTTTTTCCCATAATTCAAGAACTTTAGTGACATCTGCCTTCCGCTTCTTATCAGCTCCTATCAGCCATCATCCTTTCTGACCCTCACCAGAGATGTTCCCGTTCCACCCATACATCATATCCTGAATCAACTCCAGGTGACTGCTGGTACGTGACAAACACACACTGATCTACATACACCCACACGCACGGACATACAAAACTTAGCAAATTATATATAGTGGTAAGGACAGCCGTTGAGCTATCCTTAGCGATTTTTGCAACGCTGTTTGCAATTGAATCATGCGGATACCTCATTTCGCTCTTCAAGAACTTCTCCGACAATGTATGACATGAGCTTCTTGCTTGGTTCATTGAAAACCAGAGCTGCAGGGGACTTAGACTTGTTTCCAGTTCCACGTGAGGGAAGGGAGCACACTGAAATATGGTCCGGTTGTCGTTTCCACAATAATGCTTTGATAGGAAGGCTTTTCTTCTCGGAGCAATTATAAAATAGAGCGCAGTTGCACATCGGATACAATGAAAACTTCATACCTTCTAGGTCTACATAGGAGTCAAAGGGGGTGTTTGCTGCATCCATGCAGCCGATCTCTTCTCGAGAAACTAATAAACTAAGAATAATGCACACTGGCTCCTTCGTGAATAAAGGAGCGATGGAAGTTGTTTGTTACCCATGCTCCACTGTCAAGATAAGGCACATTCATTCCCCGTCCACATTTTATCGATTGAATTGCATGGTTGATTCCAAGCGCTTACTTATTCTTTTGTACATTGTTTTCAAATTAGATCGAAACCTAAGGATAAATTCATCTGATTGAAAAATGGCTCAGCGCAGGTGTCTAAAGGTGTTACTGACCAAAAAGAAAACCAGGATAGTGTCAATTTTCCTGAACGTTTCTCATGAGAAATGTTTGTGGGGTATGGAACAGTCAGAATCTGTCTTAGAGTTAGTATAGTTTCCGTTTAATGCGACACCGCTTCCAAAAAATCTTACGGTGATATACGTTGAATTCTACTCAAAGGGCCTCTGGTCCCACTGTACACTAACGATAAGTTCCATCTTCAGGATACGATAAGATCTCATATCCTGAAGATCTCCATCCACACTTCCAAATTCACCCCAAGGAAACCTAACTAATGATAAGCACGTACTCCTAGAAGCAGTCTGCGCATTCAAACGTTTCCTGAAGTTGCCGCGGACACATCCACTACGCCCGATGTCATCTCACCGCTGTACTTAACAGCGTAGCGGCTGACAGTCCACCCTCACTGCGTTCGCCAGGCATTGTCTGCTTATTGTCGCCGTACGTAGACACAACAGAGCAAATGCTTCGAAATTGGGCATGGATGCTCCCAACACGCCGTAGCACCTTGGAGCACCACTTGCATCATGTAGTGTCTCGGGAAAACGTACTGGTTGGGCGGAAGGCTACGATGGGTTTCCAAACTGCCATTCTTGCTGTTTCATGTTTACCTTTTATTTATGTATTAATTCGTCTATTGTGGTTAGTGCGTCGATAAGCCAGTGAGAATCCGCCCTAATAAAGGCAAATACGAGACGGAATGAAAGCGAGTAGAAAACAGTCAGCATTACAAACACTACTAAAAGCGCAGTAGTATTCCTTCAGCTTTACGGCATCCAGCCGAAAATAAGTTGCAGTATCCGTAGGCAAATTTTTACTACAATATACGACGAGGCCAAAAAAACGAAAATGAAGACAATTCCACCGGGCGGTCACCCAAGAATATGTGACTGATCGCAAATAAGACATGCCTTAATCGCATCGTTATTCCAAAGGATGATATTGAATGGTGTACGGAGGTGCATGGTCATCCTGGGCAACGCAACACATTAGCGTAGTGGTTTCCGGGCCAAAGTAGGCACTGTTGCGGAACGATCACGGTTTATATCTTTATTGGAATGACCGATTGGGCATCTGCATGCCCAGCTTTTATATGGAGCGAATTGAGTCATAAACGAAACAATTTCTTCATATTCTTCTTTAATATGTCGCGAATTTCTCAGAAAAGGATGATTAAGACGTCGATCTTGGCGATATTATGAAAATGACACATTTCTCTGAAATTTCAATGTAGTGTAAAAGCTGCATTAGTCATTACACTCCCAACCCGGAAAAGAAATTAGCGTGACTTTTTGATTAAGGTGGCTTGAAATGAGCGTTTGCGGAATATTCGAAGAATCTGGAAAATTACACATAGTATGATAAAGGTAATGACTATAGTTTTCCAGTATTTAAATATGCTTGTAAATGAAGTAACCCATTCGAGTATTGGTGTGGTGAAATCTTTCCAAGAGAAACCTGTAGATGTTGCTCGGTAGGTTTCCAAATGCTGCAGTGATGAAAACTGAAACACAGGTTCAT